AAAATTTTCATTATTTATCGAAGTATTGATTTTTATGGAAAAAGCGCCGCAGGCGAAAATTTGTAATAAAAAATCGCGCGATTTTTTATTAAAAATTTTCATTATTTATCAAGTATTGATTTTTATGGAAAAAGCGGCGCAGGCGAAAATTTGTAATAAAAAATCGCGCGATTTTTTATTAAAAATTTTCATTATTTATGGAAGTATTGATTTTTATGGCAAAAGCGCCGTAGGCGAAAATTTTTAATAAAAAGTCGCCGGTTTTAATGCAACTATTTTGAGGAGGGCGTACATAAATAAAGTGTTTATTGTGTGAAATAGCGCCGAGAGGTTAGTTCAATTTACAAACTTTAACAACAAATAACTTAAAAACTAGAGGCCTGCTGCGGCTAAAAGTATATATATTTGCAATCAGGAGAACTCCCTCTATCGTTCCATAGCTACCCTAATGCGGAACTCCGGGGATGCCAAACTAAATTGCAGCCAAAACAAATAAAATGTTATAATTTTTTCATAAAATAACCTTTTTTAGAAAAAAGTGCATAATCAATGCTAAAGGCGGGTTGGGTTTAGTACCGCTCACAACTATTTCGGGCTATTCCGTCCAAATGGGTGGCCCGATCCAAAAAAAAAATTGCACACACTTGTAGTCAAGGGTCCACGCAATATTTTAACACTCACTTTTGTAAATTTTGGTTACTAATTTATTTACAAATTGGGTTTAAAATATGCCCTTTTTTGTAAAATTCGGAAATTAGCGTACATTTATCACTCCTATTCTGCTTAAATTAGCCACTTCACCAATATATTTTTGTATTCCCCTTCACTTTACACTTTACTTGATTTGTTATAACTTGCTTTACGACTTTAATATTAACCAATTCATCACAATTCATTAAATAAAAACACCTTCAAAATCACGCGTCTGACTTTGGTTGCATATGCAAATTAAATGGCGGAGTTCAGCTGTCAAACTCCAAAATATGCAAAAGAATGAGAGACAAAAGAAGATAGGATATAACCCAGTAAGCATTAAAAATATACAAAGGTGTTCTCTGCAAAAGGTGTTCAGCTCCTTTTCTTCGCAAAACAGAAAGGAGAATTCTACTGCCTGAGGGTTATAATCCCTAAGTCTGGCCGAAGGCCGCCTACGCAGAAAGGTGTTCTCTGCAAAAGGTGTTCAGCCCCCCTTCTTTGGCAACACAGAAAGGAGAATTCTACTTAGTGAGGGTTATAATCGCTAAGTGCGGCCGAAGGCCGCCTACGCAGATAGAAGTTCTGGGCAAAGGAAACTATGATATCACCCACACTTGTCACTTTTACTTGTAAATGCTTTTAATTTTTTTTATCACTAAATTCTTAAACCTCAAAAGTAGATCATAATAAAATATGTATATCAAATTAAAGGTTAGAACTTGCAGTTTCTAAATAATATATATGCCTTTAGGGGAAATCTTTAGTACCACTCACACCGTTTTTTGGGTGGGTAACATTATTTCTTTATCACTGCAATTATTTTATGTCAATATAAACGCATGCAATTTCCTGGAAGTTATGTAGACGGTTGGAAAGGCCGAGTTTCCAATCCGCGCTATTCTTTTTGGGTTACTCCATTTATTGATATCTCCTGGTGGTCAGAAAGCCCGAGTTTCCGATCCACCCAGTCCCGCTTTCGTGACGGTTGACGGTTGGAAAGGCCTAGTTTCCAATCCGCTCGTTTATTGTTTATTATCTAAGGGTCTAGGTAGTCGGAAAGGCCGAGTTTCCGATCCGCCTAGTCTCGATATATTGGTGGTTGGAAAGGCCTAGTTTCCAATCCACGCTATTGTTGATACATCACTATCTTGTAGGCTGCGTTCTACAATAGTCAAATAGCAGCGGCTTGAAAAGAGTGATAGTATCACAATTTTTTATAGCCTCTGGTAATTCATTGAAGCACTTTAAGCCTTTATAGAAAATATTTTTTTTGTCCACTTCTGTTCTATACTTCGGGAGTCTGAAGCTGTTATTCTCTCTCAACAAATATGTATGCGTCTCATTTATATATCGGAGATTATCGCTAAGATAATCCGGCAGGTTGCCCTTTTTAATATTGTACACAAATTTCATAGCGTGGTAAAAAACTTGTTGCTTCACGCTTAACCAATTCAAGGTTTCAAGCATACATCTTGTTGGTGTGTCATACGGTTTGTTGAGGATGAATCTCATCGCTCGGTTTTGCATTTTTTGCAG